TGAGATGTGTCACAGCCAAGCTATATTGTGAGAACTAAAACAGACGCTGTTTTTAATTCAGAATGATAACAACAACAACAACAAAAACAAAACTGTATTTCGTAGAAAAAAGGCTTTTCCCTTGTGAAATTAGTCTTAGGGGCTAACCTCTAGAAAATCTGTAAATGTACAAGTATGTGAAATATTTTACTCAATATGTTTAACTTGCCTATATACGCTTTTTCATGTGAAACATAGGAACATCCTTTCTATCAGCAATGCTAAAAATCAGATTAGAAATAAAAAAGAAATCAAGTTTTGAAACAGAAGGTAGGCAGAGAAATGTTATTTTAACCTTGGCACCTAGTTAAATAGACCCTTCCTTGGCCAATTCTCCTATACCTGGCATTTCTGGCACTGGATTTCTTTTCAATCTTTCATAAAGTAGATCTTTGACTTGCTTGAAGAGTAGAAGTATTTATAATAATGAGTGTGAATTATTCCATTCTCATACGTTAGGTATTTTCCTTTGTGGATATAAAGTGGTGACTCAGTATTTTATCAAATCATGAGATTATGAAAATCCTGGGAGTTATCAGTCTGAAATTTAAAAGATTACATTTTCCAAACTTTAGGGACTTTTACTTGAAGCAGGAAACATAACTTGCAGAACATCTTTTGCACTGTCACTTGATTTTCAATGATGATAATAAACCTGCACCACTTGCACAATTTTGTTTTGGAATTCAGGAGCAAGACGCTTTGCATCCCCCACGAGATCTGTACCCGTGGTCTATCGCTACAGAACAAACCAAACTACCCCGAAACTCAGCACGGGTAACAGGGCCACCATTTATCATTGCTTCCAGGGTGGGCGGGCCGCTCTGCTCATCTGGGTCAGGCTATCTGATCTGGCCTGAGCTCCCTCACATGTGTGAGGCCTGAGCCCTGCAGCTGCGTTCTGTGCTTTCTCTGCAGCAGGCTCACCTGACTTGCCATGGAGGCAGAGTGGGGAGTGGCGGATACAAGGTCCCCTGAGGCCGAGGCTCAGAAGGACACGATGTCATGTCTGCTGCATCTGTCAAAGCAAGTCACAAGCCAGCCCAGACTCCCAGGGTGGGGAAACAGTCCCCACCTGTTGCTAGAAGGAGCTATGGAGTCACATCACAGAGGGTATGGACACAGGGGAGGGGGCAACGTGACCATCACTGAAAACAATCTGCCAGGAAACCCTTCTTAATTTCTTATGACGAGAATTATGGAACTGATAATATCTATCTTTTTGCCTTGGCTGGTAGGCTGCCTTGTATTGTTTGTATTTATAGTTATTATAAATATAATAAAATAAAACTGGGTGATTGGGAACAAAGGGACAAATAAAGATAAGAAAAACATTATTTCACGCAATGCAGAAAATACAACATAAGGTGTAATGGTATCTTTACATCTAAGTCCTAATCTGAAATGTATCTGAAACAAACAAACAAAAAATTCCCTTTAATAAATTCCAAAATCTTGTATTAACCTGCTCGGCAGCAGTAACTCAAATCTTAACCTGACAACTAAGAATGTGATAGTAGTGCCAAGGTCAGTATCAGTCTGGAACTGAACACACTTAAGTGTCTCTGCGTTGGTACTAGGAGTAGAACATCAGAGAAAATGTGAGCAGTCCAAGAAATTACCCTGAAATCAGCAGTACCACTGCCACAGGTGTAAAACCTCCATTCTAATTATTTTACAAATAGTAATATGCTCATAATGAAACAGAGAAAGCGTACCCAGAAAAAGATCTCTGAACGAAACAGTTATGAGCCAGTGTAATTCCTCGGCCATCCACTTCAGGGGGACAAGCAGGTTTCTTTAGACAGGTGGAATTTGATGTTACTGCATAGGGTATCGTTTTGAAAGGAACAAATCAATGTAAACTTAAGTCTTCAAGTACGATCTCATTTTTTTTTTCTTTTACTGAAGTCAAAATAACAAGCAAATATAAAGCTTTGGCTCCTCGATATTTCCACACAGTTGTTACTTTGTGCCATTTTACCACAGAAATTGTCAATAAATTCCAAGGGTGGGGGGGAGTCAACCAAGAAGCAAGAGTAAATGTATGCTTCTGACTCTCTTTCCTTCTCCCAGATCTCCCTCTTTTGATGGCTCCCGCTAAGGACAACACAGGGCCCCTCTCTACTGGAAGCAACTTTCAACCAACTTTTTTCTTCTACGTCCTTTCCAACCTGTCTTTGTTCCTAAGGTCTTTCTGTTCCTTCTCTTTTACTCTGTTTCTTTTTGTTTTCCCGATGCCCTGTGAGCCAGGTCAGCATAAAAAGCTAGTCCTCAGAACCATTTTTCACCTTTCCCTCTCTTGTATCCCTCATAACCAAGTTCCATCATCCTTCTGTTGAGCTGTCACATTCTCCATTGGAATTGCCACCAGCCTCATCCTGGTCACTGCAAGGGCCTGAGTCCACCCTGCCGAACTCTGGCGGACTTTTACACGGTTTTACACCGTTTTCTTCTGGCAAAGCGCATATGCTCACAGGCCATTTCCTACCACCCTGATCCAAACTCTTTTGAGTGGCTTCTGAACTCTGCCCTCCCGGGGGGAGCCTCCCAGCAGGCCTGACAGGGCGGAGATCAGGAGGGGATCCTGGCTCTGCTGCACAGACTACATGGCCTTGGGCTAACTATCTTGTGTCTCTAAGCCTCCGTTTCCTCGTCTGTAAAATGAAGGTAACAGTAGTGGCTGCCCCGTAAGGTTATTTGATGGTTTAAATAAACATTCAGTGTAAAGAAATGCTCAGCCAACGCCTTGCATGTGTTGAGTGGTCACCGCTGATTCCCACGCTGTCTGTCTCCCTGACAACGTCCGGCCCCCTCGCTAATCCTGACCCTTTTCAAAAATGCTCCAACCGTGGATGCTCTGGAGAGTCACCCCAAGCCAGCTCAGCCCTCCCTCCTCTGAGCTCCCAAGACCCTTTTTGCAGCCCCACACTCAGTGGTCCTCCAAGGGGAAGCTTGCCCGGATGGGCAAAAACCTTAGCTGTCTCCTGTGACCCGACACCAGCCCCAGGCCAGCACATTTCAAAAGCCTGGTCCCTGACTGCAGCGATCTGTAAGTTGGGTTTTACTTTTTTTTTTTTTAATTGCTATCTTAGAGCTTTTCCTTTCTTGATTTAAAAAACCTATTTCCTTCCACCTGTTTCACAACACATCCAGTTGTTTTTGAGGACCGAGTCTGAAGCTAAAGAAGCCGGGAGAGCAAAATGATTGGGGTCAAAGCCCTTTTCTGGGTCCCAGTTCAGTTATGAATGTCAAATATTCTAAAGTTTCACCAACCCTTCTCTTGGCCCTCACATAGGATGGCAGCCCAGAGTGGAACCATCGGAAAGAGAGCAAAGGGCTGCCCAGAAAGAAAGCAAGAAAGGATTGGGAAGCACATGTTGTTACACATTAATTAGCTCTCTCCCCATTCAACTTCCTGTGTCAGTTCACTCAGGGTAATGCAATTAGGTATTTTGAAAAACTTCCTATTTCAAAAGAAGGAAGCTGGGGTTTTAGAAATCACACTGCTGCACTTAGAGGGTCAAGTTTCAATACCGGGGCCTGATGCCTCTGGGGCGGAGATTTCAACAGGCCAGTGTCCTGGAAGATTGTCTCAGCCCCTGTCCTATTTTGATTTTTTGCTTATAATTAACTATCAGGGGTAAAAAATGCTGAAGAATTGAATACCTTTCCAAGCAATGTTTATCATTAGATTTCAAATACATAGGGTTGATTGCCGTGGGGGAAGAAGATCTTAAGATCTCTCCAGACATTATTTGGAGTTGTCACTTAACTCTCTCAAAAGTCCAGAGCATGAGCACAAGTGCGGCCAGGGTGGCTCATAGTAATTCTTTGTTTTTTCCTCTTGAGCTGAGAAAAGCCCGAAGGGCACTGGCTTCCACAAGCCAAAGAAACCCGAGACGCGCAGAGGTAAGTGTGATACGAGTCGCCGTGCCTTGGCACGGCTCTAGAGAAACGGAAGGTATGCCGCTCAGGACCAAAGAAACCTGGTTGGACAACGTCCACTTTCTTTGGATAAGTGACTGAAGTACATCAGGCCTTGCAAAGGGACAGGAAATGGAAGGAGATTAATGTCAGGATGCCCAGGAAACACAATCCTCCCAAGTTAGGGGGAGAGAAAATCCAGCTGCCTACCCACACTGCGTGAGCGCCTAGCACAATCTCTGTCCCTCGGGGCACTCACGCCTCTGCAGCAATATTTATAGAAGTCGTTTTCAAATCTCAAAGTCTCTGACTACTCTCCTAGCTTCACAGCAGACAAACATGTCTCCCTTCTCCCAAATTCCGTGATGTCTCCCTCAACAAGCAGAAACACCCTCCCTAGGGTTTTCAAGAATCCACGACCCGCCCATTCTTGCTTTGAGCAGTAGGAGACCAAACCCAATATGTCCTTTGCCATTTTCAAAATGGGTAATTCAAAAATACCAAATCCATGTTAAAAAAAATTTTTTTTAAACCTCACAACATCAAAAGATTAAAATAAATGTAGACTCAGTCTGTCACTAGTAGAAAGCATACCCATTTGTTTATTCACATGTCCAATACAAGTCAGCTTGCCTCCTTCCAAAAGGCCTTATGTAAAGCTGCACGGGGTCACTCTAATGTCCCTTGTGTTACAAGTCATGCCACTTTTCCTGAAGGCGATAAATGGAGCACTAAGAAAACTAAGACACCTAGTAAAACCCCAAATGAATCTTAACTCCTGGGTGAGCACGACCTTAGCTATTACAAACAAACTTTGTAAATTTACGAAAACAAAACAAAACAAATTTTTAAAAACCCACCTTTTTTTATATAATACCATTTATCTTTGAATTACAGTAACCTCCAAGCCTAGAAAGGTCGCTCCATGTTAGGCACTCTGTAAACATTTGCCAGCTCTCTTTATCAAGATACAGTTTGTCTCGGACCATCTCTGAGACCCAAGCCTGGGAGGAACTGGTCTCCGCCATGCTCACCTGTCCTCGTAGCACATGGTGCATCTCCAGACGCAGGTCCTCCTCAGGAACACACGGCACTCGGAGCACACGCGGTGGCTGCAGCCCTGGCACGCAGTCCCCCGGTTCAGCAGCAGCCCCAGCACCCGCTGGCAGCGGGCACACGATTTCTCTTTGTTCTCCTGGCTCACGCTCTTCATACCTCTCCACCGGAGATGCTGCAGGCGCGTCTTCAGTTTCCTGTGACCCAGAGAGTTAAATGATAAGATTTGACTGAATGGAAGGACCGACGCTGGACATATTCGTCCACGGTCAGGGCCCCAACAGTACGGCCATGGCAAGAGAGAAGGGGCCTTGGCACCCAGGACCCCCGGGTTCCACCATGGCCCGTCATGAGGCTTGTTTCACAGACAAGGAACCTCACCTCCAGGGTTGCTGTGTGGCAAAGCATAAACAGTACACCTGGCACAGAGACGTTAGCTGCTAATTTGTTCTAGGTTCACCCCTTCCTGCCCACAGCGTGTTATAAGCAAGAACAGTGAGGGAAAAAAGAAAACACACAAAAAAATGACATTAATTCTAATATGCAAGGCATGGAAAGATCTACAAATATATAGCACACATGCCTGCTACTGTCATGCGTTACCCAATACAATTATGTAACTGATGCTCTGCTTTGCTGCTGTTTTCTTATGGGTGCTCAGTGTCCTCTCAGCCCATTTCCCCTACACAATAGCCCCAGTGCAAAGGGATATTACATTGGACCCCACAGAGGTGTCATTAACCAGAACGCTTTTATGAAATGTCTGTTACCTACTTTTAGAAAAGGGAAGTCAATCTCTAGAAACCAGCTTACATCCAACTTTCAGGATTTGCCCTAGAATCAGTACCCTCGGGAACCAAAGGTCCTTACCACCGTTTTCCATGTTTTTTGTTGACATTCGAAATTATGTTTCTACATCACAGAAAGCGCTTTAATCGTTAAAGAAAATTCCACTTTGGTCAGTGTGTCACATTTCTTGGTGGAAGGAAGTGGAAGTGTATTTAGAGAGCATTGGGATAAGGTGACAGCAGGAAAAGAATATTGTACCTTCCACTGGACCAGGAAATTTCCCTCATTCCTCAAGCATTTGGTTGTCCAAAGGTTTATTTTATACGTGCATTTTTCTTGGCAGACTCCGAAAGAGTTCTGCCATTAAAAACAAAACAAATGATCTTCCTGCTGCAGCCTGAGGTGAGCTCTGAAAATGGTTCGCTATTCACTTGACCCAGAGAGAACCCCACAAAATCGTGCAAATTGAGAGGTTCCTATCTTTGTGTTCACTTTAAGAACACTCGTAAAGCTGACCAGGCCATCAAGGGTATGCATAATTGAAAAGCCACCAAGTATCTGAAGGCTGTCACTTTACAGAAGCAGTGTGTGCCATTCATTGTCACAATGGTGGAGCTGGGAGATGGGCTGAGGCCGAACAGTGGGGCTGGACACAGGGTCGGTGACCCAAAAAGAGTGCAGAACTTTTGCTGTGCATTAAAATGCTTAAAAATGCAGAGTAATGCTGAAACCAAGGGTTTAGATGTAGGTTTTCTGGTCACTGAGCACAGCCGGGTGAACAAAACTCCGAAAGACGCCGGGCAGAACGTACAGAGCTCACAGGCGGGTAAACACAACCTCCCGTGAACGCCCCCTGCCCGCGGACATGATCCTCACTGAGAAAGAGCAGGTTGTGCCAAAACCCGAAAAGGAGGTTGCACAGAAGAAAACGATCCCACAAGAAACTGAAAAAAACCCAGAAACTTATGGCCCAGAAGTAAATTCAGCATCAAATAAATGCTAATAAAAGTAAAAACAAACCAAAAAGCCTATTCCATTATCTTTTTTCTAAACCCCAGGTCTTCCACAAACATTGATAAAGCCACGATGTCTGCTTAAATCTAATCTGTTTAAAGATGGGTCTTGCCAAGTAACAATGGATGCTGCTTTAAGACAATCGAGCCCTGATTTATTAAATGTGAACTAACTTCAAACAGCCTGTGCAGCTTAGAGACGACAAGGAAAGAGCCTCGGTATTGACAAATCAGTCTGGGAACAGGCTGAGCAGGTTGGTATTTCATACGCCTCTGATCCTCAGAGCCGACTTGGAAGCAAACTCAAGAGAGAGAAAAAAAATAAGACAGGCATGGATTCCAGTCAATTTGCTGTTTCTAAGCGGCTGTGCTTGCTTCTTTGTGCCATCAGTTTCAACCAAAAATAGTTAAGGAAAGCCCTGAAAGGGAGGTCTTTCCCCGGAGGGGTGTCTTGGAAGCCTGACAGCTTCCTTTGAATTATTCCCTCAAAGTAGGCAAATTTATCACAGGAAAAGAAAAAAAAAAAAGGCACCATTTAAATGAATAACAAAAGCAGCCTCCCTGGTCCCTTACCATCTTCCAAGTTGAGTTCAAGAGCAGAGGTCATCTCTACCCAGAGCCTGTCTTGTGGACTCTCGACAGACAAAAGGCCAAATATGCAGGAGCAGACTCCTCACAGAAAAAGCCGAAAACCCAGAGAATTCCACCCATTCCAATCACAGCCTACCGTATCCTCTCGTCCTCCATGTTTTGGATTGCCCGGTCTCGGTACAGAACCTGGAGAACCACCTCACGTTCTAATTCCTGGAGGGAATTCAGATTGACTTCTTGGGCCATTTCTCTCTCGTTCCTTAGAGCCAAGATGAAGTTTCTTCACTCCATGACCGAGTGGTCCCGTCCTGTGGATGAGCTCAGAGTCCCGCAGCAAACCCACGTTGTTGAAAGTGCTCTCGCTCCTGTTTCGTTGGCAACTGTGTCACTTGTGGCTCTTTCTTTTCCTTTTTAACGGTGTCACACTCCTCAGGACAAGAAAGCCCCAAGAAGCTGTCCCTCTGTTGGAGTCATTGCTCTGAAGGCCTCATGCCACCCACAGAGCGTTTTCACTGGAGCCTTTGACATCCGTCTAAGAAAAAAGCATATCTTTTTCTGAAGTTTTGCCAGAGATTGTTCTGAATTATAGAACCGAGCAGACAGTTCCTGCAAAGCAGAAGTAATCCCCAATCTGAGGGAATTTATGAATAGCAATAAGAAGAGTATCAATGTCTTACAGACGCTAACTTTCCTCTTGTTTTCAGGTCATCACTAATAATCAAAAGCCCAGCCCGTTGGTACCTGTAGAAAAAACAATAAAAATGGCATCAATTGTCCTGGCCTCGTATCTCTGCAGTATTACTTCAGAAAACACAAGATGTTCTACACAGACAGAACTTTGCTTTTACTGCTGAGGTGATAAGATTTTAAATTTTACTAAATTGGTCTTCTCCTGTTTCTTAAAGCCTCGAACTCTCAAACTTGAATTTTTCTAATATGAATTCTGTATCTTTAGTGATTACAGGTATAAGGGTCTGTGTTTAATGGACATCATCCTAATTGAAAACACATTAGCAAAACAATGTTCTTAACTGCTAGCTATTATCTTTATAATTAACTTCAAAACTCAAAAAATCTTTAATCAATTAGAGAGAGATGATGGGACATCTCCACAACCTCAATCTATCAATTATTTATAGTCCATAATGGTTTCACCAGCTGCCTGATGTATGGGGTCTTGTTTCTGTTTAATGCGAGTTGAAAGTTCTGCGTACATTCTTCCTACTTTTAAAATTTCCATCGGTGACATTGGGCAGACATCACCTTCAATCTCTTCTTCCCCCCCAACCAAGAAGATGACTGTGAATTGATAAAGCACTGGATAGATGCATAATGATGAAATGTAGGAGCTGTAGATGATCAAATCAGTATACTTTGTATAATGCCATTTTGTTATCAAATCTACATGAATCCCTTAGTAATAAGACTTCCTATCCATGCTTGAGAAGCTAAACTTACTTACTTCAACAGAAATCCACATTTTATAAACTTATGATCCATAGCAAGTCAGTGAATGAGAGGTTAATGGAGCCCTGGGGGACTATTCTCTTTAAGCAGAGATTCTTAACCTTTTTTTATTACTCTTTGTTATTTAAAGATGGATAACCCTCTGTATTTAAATGCATAAAATAAAATACATTGCATTACAAAGGAAATCAATTATACTGAAATATTTTAAAATTATCATATAGTAACATATGTATTCATTGATGCTTGAAATAACGAGATCTAGCAGTGACTTAATGAGTACCATAATTTCAAAGTAGTGGTAACTGTAAACAATATTTTGAGATTTCTGTAACATACAATGTGGCAGAAAAACATCTGTTATTTCTTTTGGCAACAGTCATAAGACCTGCTAGTTCACTGTGGTTTGATGCCTATATTCATAATTGAAGAAAATACTAAAATTTAGTTAGAAATAAATAAATAAAGATGTAATTTTTTCCCCCATCCAAGTTCATAGACCTATATGGGTGAAGGACCTCTGGTTTAAGGGCTGTCAGTTTCTCTATTGTGAGAGAAAGTTAGAAGACATTGCTCACCCAAAGGCAGAGGTTGCCTGGGGAGTAGGAAGACCCAGAGCTCTGAGAAGGCATGCTCTCGGCCTCTAGTCTTCAGAAAGTTCTCACCGTGTCTGCTCTCAAAAGGCTTCCTATCTAGGTGGTGAGAAAACAACAGAGTGACAAGCCCAGCTGGTAACTCAGTGTAGCATCAGGGGCAAAGCCTCGTGCATCCTCAGTCCCCAGTTTCTGGACTAGCAGTTCCCTGAACCTCTGAGTCCCTGGGAAAGAGGAAAGTGACATCAAACAGCGTGTAATCAAGTGCTAAGTGATAAGATGTAAATTAGCCATTGGGTCTCCAACGTCAGGAGTCTGTTTCTAAACTTGCCCCTCGGTTCTTCTCGCTTTCTTATTTCTAATCTTTTAAGCACACTACTGGGCCAAGAACAATCCAGTCTGTGTGATTCTCAAGCATTTTAAGTGAAGATTTGTGCACTGGGTTCAAGACACGCGATCTGTGCGCGGAGCTGCCATCCGTATGGCTTTTGTGCTCCATTCTCTGGTTCTGGTCGTTGGTTCCTTGGGCAGGACCCATGCAGTATCACGCTGGAAGTGACATCACCAAGTGCACCAACTGGGGGAATCCTGGAACACTCGAATGTTCACTCATTCAGGTAGCTAGGTCTTATGCTTTTCAGAAATATGGGATTCAATTATTTAAAAACATTACTTGTACTCTACCAAATCCATGCCTGTGGGCCTCCCTGTGTCCTTCGCATGGATAACTGGGAGCACAGCCTCCCCCTAGTGGCCATTCACGGCTAGTTACAGAAAAGTGAAATTCAGTTCATTTCCAGGATGCAGCCATCCATTCATTCAGTAAATACTGAGTAAGTGGCTCAGCTTAAAACAAACAAACAAACAAACAAACAAACAAACAAACAAACAAAAATACTGAGTAAGCATCTTCCAAGTGCCAGGTACTTACTGTTCAAGTGCTTAGGGTACATGACTTGATTGGCAGGTAATTTACACCCAATCCTACTTCTAATATGATGTGACTTATGATTAAAGCACATACAAGACAAAATACAGTCAGAGAAACAGCAGCAGCCAGAGTGAAAAGGGGCAGATAATTTTACCAGGAAACTTCCGTGAAACAATCTTGAACATCAAATGTATTTCTGACCTTAGTAACCAAAGCAAAACAAAGCAGAATGAAACAAACAGACAAAAAATCAAAGTGGTGTACGTGGTTCTCATAAACTGAAAGAAAACAAGGACATTCTCAAGGTGTGAAACTCCTAGACTGAGAACACAATCACTTATTTGAGCAGTGGTTTGGCAGAAGAAGCAAAACTGTGTGTCGTGTGTCACTATTATACTGATCTCAAATTAAAGCTAAGGATATAGCACCAAATTGCAATTCACTGAAAGCATTTCAAATGTAGGCCAAAACATGGTACTTTCTGGAATCCCAAGTTGATACAGGGATTGGGCTCAGAAAACTAGAGGCGTGGGTGTTCCAGTATCTATCCCACTGTGTTTCTGTTCTTGACTTTCAACTATTTTGATTCTAGTTGCTTTAAACATTCTGCCAGTATTTAGGCACTTGGTTAATAGCTAATGTGAATAAAGCCTTCTCTTGTTGGATTGAAATGTACTTTTCCCTTCAATTTGGAAGGTCTGTCTCCAGGTCTTCTCTAAACAAGGGTGACTTCTTGAAATGATGCAACTGGTACTTCCTAGAGTATCACCCTGGGGACCCTCAGCATCAAGATTTAACAGAAACCTAGGAGGATGTTTTCTCTTTGGTTTCCAGTGTCTCCCTAGTGTCCCAGCTCGCTTGGTGGTGTGGACACCCCATGTAACATGTTTGAGCTGCAGTTGCTCTACCTCACTGAGACTAGTTCAGGATTTTCCATGGGAGCAGTACCACACTTCCATCTTAAGTTCATGGGTGTTTTTGGATGTTACAGTGTCAAAGAATTATCTTGCAGTACCATACAAATGTTGACTCTCTTGCCTGATAAATCAATTAGTAAAAATTATAATGATTTCATAATAGAATTTAACTCTTCTATAAACACAAAGTGTATTTTGCAGGGCTTTACTATATGGTCATGTGCCACTTTCTGAATGGGTACGCTCTGAGAAATATTTACATCACTAGGCAAGTTCACCATTGTGCAAACATCATAGCGTGCACTTACACAAACCTGGATGGTTTAACCTACTCCACATGCAGGCCATGTGGCACGCCTATAGCTCCTAGGCTACAAGCCTGCACAGTATGTTTTGTACAAAACAACAAGAGATTAAATCAAGCACAAGAGAAAATGATTCGTTCAAGAAATGCTGTAAACACGCGATGTATAAGGCTGCTCCTGGTATAACACGGCATAGTGTTTTTACAGCAAACTTTTTTTTTAATAAGCAGAAAGAGTACACTCTACAGGACAAAAGGTATACTGTCATAACTACATAAACCAGTAATATGGCTGTTTATTATCATTATCAAGTATTATGTACTGTACATATTGTATGTGCTATACTTTCATACAACTGGCAGTGCTGTAGGTTTGTGTACACACATGTGAACAATGCACTGCACTACAATGTTACAACAACTACAGCGTCACTAGGTGATAGGAATTTTTTGGCTCCATTTTAATCTTATGTGACCACCGTTGTGTAGGGGGTTTGTTGTTGACTGAAACGTAAACGTGATTATGCAGTGCATAACTGTACTCTGTTTTCTAGAATGCAAGCATTGTGCAAATTGAAGGAAGACTGTATTTTGATTCATTTAGAACTTTAACAAGCACTATCATTTCAGAAAGCTGCATCACACAGAGCGACGTTGCGTGTTGTACTTGAATCGCTAATGCCATGTGCTGTCACAGTCTGCATTTCTAGGTATCACATTGAATGTGATTCTATGCATGCAAATATCTGACAACTGCAGTGTCTTCTAATGTAGTTTACATATAAGAATACATGTATTCTTATAATGTATTGTCCCTTTATTTCTCCTTTTATCGCAGCAATGATTACCATTATTAGTGTAGGTAGGTTATATTACACATGAATTCAATTTCCATACAGTAAAAAGTGACCTACACAATACTTCCTATACAGAGTGAGCCTTGGGTCTCATGGGGTTAAGAACCACTGAATTGGAGGATCTAATAATTTCTCAGTTCACATGCAAATTTAACCATATAATTCTCTTCTTCACTTTTCAACATGTTATTGGGTTTGTAGAAGAATGGGGTGGGGAAAATAAAGGATTGGTTGGTTGTTGCTGTTGTTTTCAGTTGTGTGGGTTTTGGTTTGGGGGCTTCAGTTTGACTATGAGTTTGTTTGTTTATGGAATTCCAGGTCTGATTTCCAGGTTATAATTGAGAGCTCAGAGCTCCTCTTTCAGTAGAAATTATCTAAATGCTTTCAGTCGCATCTTTTCACTCCTACTGAACAGAACCTGCACTTTATCCCAGTTAGACTAGTATTTGAATTCTTTTTTGTTTTTCTTAAGATTTTATTGGGGAATTGGAAGATGGAAACAGTGTTGGGGAATCGGGGAAGGGGAACAGTCAAGTTGTTGCCCTTCAATCTTAGTTGTGGAGGGCACAGCTAGCTCAGCTCCAAGTCCAGTCACCAACTGGTCACCCGTCAGCAGCTCACAGTTGCTCAGCTCTAGGTGCCATGTTTAATCTTAGTTGCGGGTGGGCGCCC